AAGAAATTGCTTAATAAAATAATGAATATCTTCACAGAACAAGAAATTCCTTAATAAATTAAGGAATTCCTTAATAAAGAGGAAATTCCTTAATAAAATAATGAATATCTTCACAGAACAAGAAATTCCTTAATAAATCAAAGAATTCCTTAATAAATCAAAGAATTCCTTAATAAATCAAGGGATTCCTTAATAAATCAAGGGATTCCTTAATAAATCAAGGAATTCCTTAATAAATCAAGGGATTCCTTAATAAATCAAGGAATTCTTTAATAAACAATGGAATCCATGGATTTTCTTGGTGATGATTCCCAGTCCAGGCAGGATCCAGTGCTCGGAACTGGGATCCCAGTGGGTGGAACTGGTGCTGCTGGGCCAGGAGCCGGAATTCCCAAGTCAGGAATTCCCTGGGCAGCTGAATCGCACTCCGAGCCCTCCACTAATTCCTGGAATTCCTCTTTGTCCCTCCTGTTTTCCTGACTTCTGGAAAACTCCTTGAATTCCCCACCTGGTCCCCGCTGGCACCGAGCTCCAGGATATTCCTGGAGGATGGGAATCCCCACCGGAGCAGGACGGGATCCGTGGGTCCCTCCAGATCTCCCACACCTGGGCTCCGACCTCCCTTTGGCATCAAACCCAGTGGGATCCCTGGATTTTTGTGCTTGGGAATATTCACACACCCATTTCTCCATGGATCCAACTGTTCTGCACATCCTGATTTTCCCATTGCGTCCCTTGGGATTGCAGACCCCTCTCCAAGGAATGGAGTGCATGAGGGTGAGTGAAGCTCCCAGGAACCAGGAGTGAAGCTGAGGTTTCTCTCAGGAACCAGGAGTGAAGCTGAGGCTTCTCCCAGGAACCAGGAGAGGGTTAACGGGAACATTCCCGAATTTTCCTCCTCCAACTTGGTAGCAAAGCCCAACGTGGGGATCTCTGCTCTGGTTTGGGTCGCAGCCTCCGGGCTCGGTGCCTTTTGGCAGCCCAGCCTCTGGAATCTGCCAGATTCCAGACAGCTCCTGCACCCCCTCCCCTGGAAACTCAGGAATTTTGGGGAATCTCTGCCCCTCCCCTCGAAACTCAGGAATTTTGGGGGATTTCTGCTCCAGGGCCGTCCCACCCTGCTCCCCTTAGCCAAATCCTGCCAAGCTCCCGGCACACGGAGCCAAGGGGCAGCACCCCCGTGTTGGGGACAGCTCCTAAAGTTTCACCCCAAAGCCACAACAAACACATCCAACAAACCCTTCCCATCCTGGTGTTTGTCCCAGTTTTTGGGGATGAACCTCAGACCCAGCCTGGGGGCTGGTGCCAGCACAGGCGCTGGATTTTTCATTCAGAGGATGCTCACGCTTCTGGCAGGTTCGGGATTAAAGGAATCGGCTCCGGCCAGAGACTGTGGGACATCAGGGAGTGGGAAAAAGTGATGCTGCTGGGCCTCTGGCCTGGAGCTGGCTTTTGGGGAAGGGTGAAAGCGAGGAGAGGAGCTGGTGGACCCGAAATGTTAATTCCTTCCAGCTGTTGTCAGTCTGGCAGGTTCTCAAAGGAAGTTTAATAGACTGCAGTCGTCTCCCGTCCCCCATCCTGCCAGAACCTGGGATTACATGAGCTGCTCTGCCTTCCAAAAAACGGGTTTATTTTATTTTAGGGGTTTTTTTTCCCCCCTTTGGCTCTGGGAGTGTTTTCTTTTACGTGTGAGTGTGTGCACACGCATGTGTGCGAGGCCTCGCTGCCGGCCCCCAGCTGAACCTGCCCCTTGGGCTGCAGGGAATTGCAAGGGAATTTTGGGGTGGCACAGAGCAGGAGTGGGGGTTGTGTTGGCATGAGGAGGAGGAGGAGGAGGATGAAGAGGAGGAGGAGGAGGAAAAGGCTCCGTGGGCCTCCTTGCTGGAGCGCTCCCCAGCCCGCCGTGTGAACTGGGAGGAAACAGGATGGAGAAAGTATTTGGAGTGGAAAATAAAAAAATCCTCTCCCGTTTTATTGATGGTGATTGAGGACAGAAATAGCCCAGGCTGCTGACAGCCCTCCCCACCGAAGGAGCAGCCAAATGTGGGGCTCATCCCGAACTGCTCCATCCATGGAAAATCGGGGTGTCCGGAGAGATCAGGGCAGTGGGGATGAGCCAGCTCCGGATCCCAGGGTTCCACACCTGCCTGCAGAACTTCCAAGCCTCCCGTTGTCCCTCTGTCCCTCTGGCTGCACCCACGACAGGCTCAGCAGCCCCTGGAATCCATCAGCAATTAAACTATGAGTTCCCATCATTAAAGCCTCCAATGCCCCAGGAATAATCAATGCCCAGCAGGGATTGTAGGAAAAGGAAACCCCCATGGCCAGGGTCAGGCACTGCCCACCCCAGGGAGCGCTGGGGGGAATCCTGCACCAAAATCCCAGCAATGCTGATTTGGGTGACCGGAGTTTTAATGGATTTTAGCCAATTTCACTGAATTGTTTCATTTAGAACATCAAACTTGGGGCCAGCCAGGCTGGGGAAGGAGGGCAGGGAAGCCCAGGGTGCCCAGAAAAACCAAACAGGGTCAGCACTGGCATGGGCATGGTGCTCCAACTCTGAGAAAACCATAAAAACCAAGTGCTGGCAGGAGAGTAATTAGTTAAAACCAAGCACATCTGTTGTTAATTAATTCCCAGGCAGGGGGGTTTAACTCTTGCCTTGCCCAGTGTTTTGTAACCGGCATGGCCAGTGCCAACTTGAATCCAGAAAAAGGGTTTAATTCGGCTTCTCAAACCCTTGCAGGGACTTGAGTCTGCTCTGGTTTGTCATTCCCTGCTCTGATCCATCAATCCCAGAACCAGCCCTGGGATTTCCAGCAGCTCCTGGGGCGTGAGGAGAGCAGCCAGCACTGCTCAGGGCAGGGAACGTGCCTCAGGTTTGGGGTCAGGACTGAAATAAATCTGCCCCCTTCAGCTTCGAGCCCCGAGGAGCCGCTGCCCAAGGTGGGAACAGCTCTCCGAGGGAGGCTTTGCAGAGGGTACAGATCTGGCTAGCCCTGCGCTGATTATTGCTCTTTTATTCGCATTTTCTCAAAGGCAGCTGTCACTAAAGTCCATTCACAGGCCTGAACATCACATCCATGGAGGAAAACACGCCAGGATCCCATCCCTGCTCCCCACCTCCTGCTCTGGATGGGGACCTGCTCCCTCGGGAGCAGCATTCAAAGGGCTGGAGGACTGAGGAGGAGCAGCAGGAGGGGGGTTGGGGTGTGTGTGACCCCCAGCCCACCCCAAACTCAACCACACAGGGCCCGGCCAGCCCTCAGGGCCCTCCTGCACCGGGGGAATCTGTTCCCCATTAAGCGACTGCGGCTGGTGGGAGCAGCCCTGCCAGCCCCAAGCTCCCTAATAGCAGCAGAAGCGAGGCCAGGCCGGGGAGGGCCAGCGCCTCCGGGTCCCCGTGCCAAGGATGCGAAGGGTTTGGAGCAGAGCCTCGGCCGGAGCCTGTGGAAAAGCTCGGACCGACCCTGCGAGTGCCGCACGGGGCCCCGGGGCCGTCTGCGCCGGGATGTGTGTGCCACCCCCGGTGCTCACCGCTTTACCGAGGGGTAAATCCCAAAGGCAGCACCCCCAGCCGTCCCTGCGCTGTGTGGGGTGGAGGAAGGCTGCCCGCAGCATCCTCGTCCCCTCTGTGCACTCGCACAGTGCCGGGCTCTTGCTCACCGCTATAAATAGGATTCCCGGCTGAGCGGCAGCGCCCGAGGGCAGCGAGCCCAGATCCCGAAGCAGCTCTTGTCGCCGTGACCAACTGACCCATTTGGCCTCGGTTTTTAAGTGTTTTTCCCTCCTCGTTCAGCTCCAGCCCAGGCAGCAGCTCAGCAGGGCCAGCCCAGCCTGTCCAGAGCCCGCTGTGGGGTCCCTGACCCTGGCACGGGTGGGGGTCTCACCCAGGGCTGGGGGCAGCAGGAGTGGCCAAAGCCACCCAAATTCCAAGGGCTGCAACCTGAGCAGCCCCAGCCATTTCGCTAGGAATTGGTATAATTTATTTTCTCCTTTGGGAATTTGCTCCTGGGGCTGGTGGAGCAGCCCGGAGCAGGGGACATCGCAGCGGGGGTGGGACAGCACAGCCAGGGGTTGTCCCAGGGGAGCCGGGGCACTCCAGGACCTCACCTGTTCCCTGGAGCCAAGGACACAGAGAGCTCTTGCCTTTCCCTTCCCAGCACAAGGAGCAAACAGGAGCACCCTGGGGCTTCCACTGACCTGTCCCCATGTCCCCAAAGCCAGCTGGGAGCAGGGACAGGGGACACGGAGCCTCAGTCTCCAGGGAGTGCCCCGCACAGCGCGTCCCGGGCCAGCCGCCAGTCAGAAATGAAGAAAGACCTTTATTTACAGTAAAAAGGAACAAAAATAATATAAAATACCGTGACGCTTCCCGTCTCCCCAGCCCGTCAGCGGCGTGTCTGCCACCCCAACCCAGCCACCACCTCTGTCCTCGGGATGGTGGCACGGGGCCAGCAACTGCTGGGGGTCATTTGGCACCAACCGAGCCTGGGACACGCGGAGCTCGGTGACAGCTCGGTGGCAGCTCGGTGACGGCTCCGGGTGCAGGTAAAGCTTCCTCCCGGGAGGGGGACAGGCTGCGGGTATTGCACTTGGCTACCGAGGGCAGGGGGACCCTGGCAGGACGCGTCCCCCAGCTGGGCTGGAGGCTCCAGCATCTCCCGGTGCCTGGGGGTCACCCGGCCTTGGAGGTGTCCTTGGTGATGTCCCTGCAGGGGGATGCTCTGTGCCACCCCCTGCAGTGCTGCCCGCAGCGCAGTCCTGGGCGGTGGCAGCGGGACGGGGCTGTCCCCAAAACCCCAGGGTGGCTCTGCAGGACAGGGCTGTCCCCAAGGCCCCAGGGTGGCTCTGCAGGACAGGGCTGTCCCCAAGGCTGGGATTCAGGGTGGCTCTGCAGGACAGGGCTGTCCCCAAGGCCCCAGGGTGGCTCTGCAGGACAGGGCTGTCCCCAAGGCTGGGATTCAGGGTGGCTCTGCAGGNCTTCCGATCTGCTCTGCAGGACAGGGCTGTCCCCAAGGCTGGGATTCAGGGTGGCTCTGCAGGACAGGGCTGTCCCCAAGGCTGGGATTCAGGGTGGCTCTGCAGGACAGGGCTGTCCCCAAGGCTGGGATTCAGGGTGGCTCTGCAGGACAGGGCTGTCCCCAAGGCCCCAGGGTGGCTCTGCAGGACGGGCGCTCCTGCTCTCGGCTCAGGTGGCAGGAGGCTCCCGCGGTGCCCCGGTGCAGGCAGAGGTAGAGCAGGACAGGGCACTGCCAGAGCCCCCGCCGTGCCTGTGGTCACCTTCCCCGGGCAGGATCCGGCTCCAAGGACGAGGATTCCAGCGGGGGATTCGCTCTCCTCCTCCGCGAGCTTTCCCGAGGGACCGGCCGGAGCCTGGGGGGTCCCAGCGCGGGTCCCCCGGCCCAGGGGAGCCCCTCAGGAGGAGAAGCAGAGCCCGCAGCACTCCATGCAGATCTCCAGGCAGTCGGCAGACTCGCAGCACGCGTCGATGATGCCGCAGTCCATGTCGCAGGGCAGGTCGCAGTCCGCGCACTCGCCCGAGTTGCAGCAGCAGCAGCAGATGCAGGAGTCCTCGGAGGTGCAGGAGCCGCAGGTGGCACAGTCCAGCACGATGTTGCAGAGGGTCAGGAACTCGCAGAAGAGGCAGGAGAGGATGCAGTGGACGCAGCAGTCTGGGGAGGAACGCGCGGGTGAGACAGCGCCCGGCACGGGGGATGCTGGGGGAGCAGCACAAGGTGGAAATCCTCCCTCGGGAATCCACAGAAGGGAGGGGAAAAGGGATCAGGAGGCAGCCACTGCCCCGGAGATCTCCCTTAACACTCAGCCCTCAAGAGAGACCAATTTTGGAGGACGGGAGATGGCCCTGCTCAGCCAGAGGATGCCAGGAGGGTCTGGGGGTCCCACTGGGCTCTGGGGATGCCACCCAAGGGATCCCAAGGGATGAGGGGCCTGAGGACCCAGGGAATGGCACCCAAGGGATCCCAAGGGATGAGGGGCCTGAGGACCCAGGGAATGGCACCCAAGGGATCCCAAGGGATGAGGGGCTCGAGGAGAACGGCTGGAAAGAGACCCCCAGGGGACAGGCAGTACCTTCCTGTGCCTCAATGGGGATGTGGGAAGAGGGTGACTTGGAGCTGCCCTTGCTCTTCTTGCTGCTCTGGCTGTTGATGGAGTGGTGTGACTGCAGCTTTCGGTGAGGTTTCTGCGTGCTGGGCACGGCCCGGCAGGTCCCGTTCCCCGTCTCCCCGTTGGCACTGGCCGGGTCTGGCCCCCGCCCGGCGCCGTTGGGCAGCAGGAGGGTGCAGGGCCCCAGGGGCTGCGGGGGTGGCCGCACCTGGGGCTGGCCTGGAGGAGAGAGCAGCGTGTTACCCCCCCTTGCCCTCTCCACCGGGAGAAAGGCGTGCCCAGACCCTGGAGAAAAACGGGAATTCGGTCCCCAGCTGGACACGGGGTGGCCAGGAGGTGATGCTGATGGATTGAGAGGATGGAGATGGAACAGGAGATGTGGAAAAGGTGGCTGGAGGGAAGGAGGCAAAGGCTCCAGAGAGAGGAAGGCATGAAATGGAGATTTGTTATGAAGGATGTGCTGAAACTCATCAGAGGACCTGAAGGAAGAGATCTCCCTGCACAGGCAGGAGGGATGAAGCCACCAAGACTGCCGGACAGAGCTCCTGGATGTCCCCACTGCCCTCTGTAAAGCCAGAGCTGAGGCACCACTGCAGAGCCAGCCTGCTCCTCTCCTCAGCCCTGCAGGAACCGACCACTTCCTTGAGGTCTCCCCAACCTCTGGCTGAACTTCTCTGCAGGAGGAGGAAAATAACTCAGTGCTGTGTCTGTCCCTCCAGCCTCTCCCTCTGCAGCCCCATGTCCTGCCAGGACGCTGCCAGAGCCAGAGGGGTGGCTCAGCCCTTGCCCGGTGTCCGTGGTGCTCTGGGAGAGGGCTGGGAACCAGCACAAGGAACAGGGTTCCAGCACCCATCATCCTCCTCAGGAATGCCACAAATAAAATCAAATCTTTGGCCAAACTTTGCTTTTCCTCTCCCATGGCAGTAAACAAAGGATGATTCAGGAGAGAGGCTCGAGGGCAAAGGCACCTCTTGGCACCAAGGAACAGGAGCTGCTTTCTGTGCAGGGCATGGGGGGGCACAGGGGTGGAGCGGGCACAGGCGGTCCCTGTCCTGCATCCACCAAAATAAAACAGATGGAAGGTGAAAATAAAATAGGTGGAAGACACGAGTGGATGGTCCCAGTGCTTGGTTTTACCAGGCTGAGCTGGGCTCGGGCTGCTCAGGGAGGTTAAACCGGGAGCTTGGTCCTTGAAACCCGCTGGGAAGGGAACTTAAAATAACCAGAGCCGAGCGGGAAGAGTGGGCTGGACGATGGGAGACTGGGGAGACAGAAAACAGGTCTTGGATAAAACAGGAATTGTCTCCTCTCCCTAAAAACCGCATGGAGTGTTCAATTCCTGTGTACCCTTGTGCAGTGCCCTCTCCTGCCTCGTGTGTGCACAGAGATGGCTCCGAGGATGACCACGGTGCCCAGGGCTGTGACGGGAAGGGGCTGAACCCGCAGGGAGCTGGGCAGGGGCTGAGTTCAGAGGGAGCCAGCAGCAGCTCAGCAGCCTCAGACGGCAGCTGGATTCTCTGGGATTGCAGCAGGATGCACTTGGCGCTCCCCATTTCGCTGCATTCCTCAGATTAAACTGTTTGTAAATCAAAATCACGCTCTGGCTCCGGCGAGGGGGAGCCAAAGGCAGCCAGGAATCCCACCCCCCCTCAAAGTTAGGGAAAATAGATTCCATTTTTTTAGGACAGCCTTTAAAACATGGGGCCACAGCTCTTCTCAAAGAGGCACCTCCAGCTCCCCAGTAATGTGGGAGTCTGGGCAGGAGTGGGGAGACCAGCCCTGGAAAACCAGGATTTTGGGGAAAACTGCCTGTCTCCAGCTCTTCAATACCCCAAAACCTTCTGGATGTTCACTTTGGATCCCCCCAGCCTGTCCCAGGGCAGCATCACCGGGGTCCCCCTGCTGGGACCCTCCCTGCGCCACTGCCAGGGCTTGGGACGTTGTGGCCACCCAGGTCTGCTGGTCCTGCCTGAGACTCAACACAGACTCCCAGAGCTACAATCCCAGTGTTCCAAAATGCTGGAAAACTGGATTCGAGCAGCAGTGCTGAGTGGAGAGGGCCAGTCCTGGCATTGGTGGGCAAGGACGTGACCCTGCACCCCACAGCCCCTTCTGCCCGGTCCCTCCTGAGCCAGACTGGCACGGCAATGCCACCATCCCATGGGAGAGCCTAAATGTGGTCCCCATGTCCTTCCAAAAGGGGAATAACCCCAAAAAAACCAATGGCGAACCCCCAAGAGCAGCGCAGTGAGGAGCGGGGGACACCAGAGGTGACACTGCTCATTTCCCGGCGAGGAAGAGGAGAGTGCCCAAATCCCCCAAATCCCCG